TCCTCCTGCCCCCAATCCCTCCCAGCATCAGGGTCTTTTCCAATGAGTCAACTCTTGGCATGAGCTGGCCAAAGTATTGGAGTTTCAGCTTCAGCATCAGTCCTTCCAATGAACAGCCAGGACTGATCTCCTTTAGGATGGAATGGTTGGATCTCCTTTCAGTCCAGGGGCTCTCAAGAGTCTTTTCCAACACCACAGTTCAAAAGCATCAATTCTTCGGCGCTCACCTTTCTTCACAGTCCAACTCTCACATCCATACATGACCACTGGAAAAACCATAGTCTTGACTAGATGGACCTTTGTTGGCAATGTAATGTCTCTGCTTTTTAATATGCTCTCTAGGTTGGTCATAACTTTCCTTCCAAAGGAGTAAGCGTCTTTTAATTTCATGGCTGAAATCACCATCTGCAGTGATTTTGAAGCCCCCCCAAAATAAAGTCTGAAACTGTTTCCACTGTTTCCCCATCTAATTTGCCCAAGGTATACCATATTAGGGTCCAAGGAGACCTAGCCATTGTTCCTGTCTGTGTTATCATCATAGCTACATGATAGATTTGGTATATCCACATGAAACCTGAGGCATCCTTAAGAAAAATAACCTCTCAGACAAAAATCCACAGGACAAAACGATCAAAATACTTTTGTGTTGCTTTTTGTTGTTTACTTTCAATTGTCTCCTGTCCTCCCATTGTAGCTAATGATCATGCTGGGGAGAAACAGAGATTTCATGGGTACTTCCCAGGACATGGCTTGGACTTAAGACACTTTTTAAGGAGTGGCTCCTATGGCCCAGTGTTTAAGGAACTGGGAGATTGTCAGTGGAAATTCTGGACCATCTTTTAAGGTAGACACGTAACTCTTCCTCTCATTGTGACTGACCCAACCACTGACACATTCTCCTTGGCTTTTAGATAAGAGTCTTACTACAGAAAAATTTGACTGAAACAATATGTGATGTAATAGATTTAACTAGGTCTATGAGGGATTATGACTTCCCTGGTGGCTCAGATGGTAAAGCATCTTCCTACAATGCGGGAGACCCAGGTTCACTCCCTGGGTTGGGAAGACCCTCTGGAGAAGGAAATGGCAACCCACTCAAGTACTCTTGCCTGGGAAATCTCATGGACAGAGGAGCGTTGTAGGCTACAGTCCATGGGATCGCAGAGTCGGACATGACTGAGCGACTTCACTTGTTTTGTCTTTATGAGGAATTAAGGGCTTCCCAGTAGCTCAGCTGGTAAAGAATCCGCCTGTAATGCAGGAGACCCTGGTTTGATTCCTGGGTCGGGAAGATCCCCTGGAGAAGGGAATGACTACCCACTCCATTATTCTGACCTGGAGAATTACATGGACTGTATAATTCTTGGAGTCACAAAGAGTCAGACCCAACTGAGCAATTTTCACTTTCACTTTCATGAGGGATTAGTTGAAGCCTCTCTTCTCCTTTCTACCAGTAAGTTTAATATAGATGCTCTGGAAACACTGGGCTATTTCTGTGTGGTTTGTATAATGAAAGGATTGCAAGAATGAATATGCTCTTGTTTTCATAGTCAGTAATACTTGTGACTGGGCGCTGGGTCCATGTCAAAAATCTCCCAGGTTTGGAAAGATCTCTTTCATAGACTATTTATCATAGGTCCTAAAAGGTCCTAGGAATTAGAAAGCCTTTGGGTTTTAGAAACCACTGTGAGACTTCTTTGGGCTTGAGTTGTGGTCTCTTCTTGAATATTTGATGCTGAAACTCTTTTGAGCTTGCAGGTGTATTATTATCAGATGTGTACTGGTAAATCTTCTCCTGTGAGCTCTTATGATTAATAAAGATTTGGCTTGGGTCTTTTTAGATTTACTGGAGAGAGGAATGTTTCTTAGTTCTTTTCTTCCTACTCCTCATTTAAAATAAAATGAAATAACCAATATTTAGTTAAAGATGTTATATGAGGTAAAATGTATACAAAGTTAATAGTGAAGTATTCATATAAGAAATAAGATGCCAAGTCAAGCCCTATTCTGAATGGAGGTGGCTGAGCTTGGCTAACCACAATAAAAATTGTCTTTTAGCAATCAAGCACTGGGCCTTATTCAGCACATTTCTCATAATAACTCTGTGCGCTAAGTCTTGTCTGACTCTGTGCGACCCCATGAACTGTAGGCCACCAGGCCCCTCTGTCCATGGGATTTCCCAGGCAAGAATACTGGAGTGGGTTGCCATTTTCTTCTCCATATAACAACCCTCCTAGGTATTAATTGTTGTTCAGTTGTTAAATCGTATCCAACCAGTTATTCATAGGCATGTACTATTCTTATCTCCATTGTACAAATGAGGGAATTGATGCTCAAGATCAAAATCATAATTAAGGGAGCTAGTATAAAACCGAGGTCTGTCTAGCCCCATGGTTCATCTTACATCCATATGTATTCTACAGCACGGACTCAGAGCATTATGTTTTTTCCTGGGAGTGACCTTTCTAAGAGCTGAGTAGATCTTCTCTTTTGGATACAGGACCGGAGCATTTTTCATTATTTACCATCTTGAGGGAAATGCTGCCATTGTCCTTGGGTAGGGGTCATTCAACTCACCCTCTAATTCAGCCACAGCCCAAACCTGGAGCACCATTCCCTAGGACTCTGGCTTCACTGAAGACATTCAGAACAGTAAGGCAGGTATTGGCCAAGACTTTGGAGTAGACAGATTTTGGTTCAGATGACATCTGTCTTTCTAAGCCTCGGTTTATTCATCCATAATATTGGAATAATGATAGTACTTACTGGAGGAGGGCATGGCAACCCACTCCAGTATTCTTATTTGGAGAATTCCATGGACAGAGGAGCCTGGGTGGGCTACAGACCATAGTGTCTCACGAGTCAGACATGACTGTAGCAACTTAGCACACACACACCCTCAACATAACAGACTTATTGGGAAAGCTAATTAACATTTATGTAAAATACTTGGCATAGTGCCTGGCTCATAATAAATCTGACAAAACTAGAGATATGGTTGTTTGTAATCAGCAACGACAGCAGGAGAGCCTCATGCACACACCTACACTCACAGTCACACATGTGCAATTAATTGTGAGGCCAGACTCTATGGATGCAACACTGGAGACCAGATTCTCTTGTCCCTCTGGAATGAATTCCATGGGCATGGACCTTGGCATCAAGAAGACATTTGAATAGTTTCCTGAATGACATTGGATTCAACATGTAGAGGGCTCTGCAATCCCTTCCAACATTCATGGTAAAGCCATGTCCTGGCTTTCACTAAAGAACTCTACTATGTTCTACCCTACCACCATTCACACACATTCCACAGAAGGACAAGACTTGGCTCATTTTTTTATCAGATTTGCAAAAGAAAATTATTCCACTGTATGTTGGCATATTTGCAAGCTAAATGTGACACAGTATGGAGAGTTTAACTCGGATGATGAAGGAATTAAAAGAAATTCCCACATCTAAAACAGATGTACAGGCAGGATCCATACGTGGTAGTCAATTCACGAATTAAGAAAGTAAGTGAAAGGATAAGTGCACATTTCAAGATCTAAGTCTTTGTTCAATATTTTAAACACATGGTTGATTTCAAAGTCCCTTTAACCACTGAGTTGGAAAGCAAACCACTCAGAAGTAGCTGGCACCTTGGAGGAAAGGATTAGAATTCCTTGTGTCCTTGATATGTTAAAGAAGTGATCAGAAACAATCAGACTGGATTCAGTTCAGTGGAACAGGAGAAAAACAAACTCTTGTGAGCAGAAGGTGATAGAGACCTGGCTTTGTATGGATCCAATCAAGATAACCCACTCCAAGTGAGGCATTGCTGAAAGTCAGGGGCACTCTGGGCAGCATTAATGAGAAGCTGTAGACTGTGCAGATCTCAGGAGGCATCTCTCCCTACCTCGTCATTGCCACAGGTAGAGCACTCTTCATGCTATGAGAGATTCACAGAGTAGGAGAGAGTTGAGGAATGCAGGGCATTAGGAGGTCAGGAAGAGAAGAAAAACAGTCAATGCAAAAACTATGGAAAACAGCCTGTGCCCATGGAAACAAGAAGAAGAAATAGACTCAAAATTATTGCACAGGGATTGAGGTTAGCTAAAAGAAGAAACTGAGAAAAGGTGGGAGAAGAAACCTTGAAACTTTACAAGTTTTTACCATCTCTTTTTTAGAATAAGTTGCAATGAGATGTGGTGAGATGACAAAGGATGATGCTGGTTAATTTTGAAACCCTTTTCTGTCATCTGAACACTCAAAGGTTAAGCATAAATATTAAGAAAGTCTTCTGATCTGGACTTACTTTAAGATTCTCTATGTGTATCTTTAAAAATCTCACTTCCAGATGCATCTTCTAGTCATTCTGTTTGGGTCAAATGTTTCTCTGTTTAATTTATGTGAAGAAGGCCTAGCTTAAATGACACCTCTTCCAGGAAGTCTTTCCTGAAGCTGAAAGAAACCTTTACCCTTTCTGAAACCTTCATAGCATTGTATTATGGTTCCCTCCCTTGTGATGCTTTCTCACATAAAATCTTTGGTTACGTGCTAACTAATGTATGATGAAAGCCTAAATGAGCAACTCTTTCTTGGCATTTGTGGAAACTAACTTTGGCAGCACCCTCCTCCCAGCCTGCACACAAAGGGCTAACTCCTAACAAATATCAACAGACTAAGGGATGTTTCCCAGTTGGCTTCATGTAGTTGGTGATTGAAGCACAACTTGAAAAAAATCAAGGAAAACGTCACCTGTGTGATTGTGATTTGTACAGACTTACTGTATTTGAGTAGAACCTACAAAACCTAGAAAAACTTGGGAGGGAAAGAGAATAGTAGATGTTAAAACATAAAAAGTGAAGAAGACTCCAAGGCACCGTGTTGGAAGAGGGACTTGAAACACTGAACAGACCAGGGAAGGCTTTTTTACTGCCAGGCATAGTTCATGAGTTCCTGGGAAGTATTTCAAAGTCCCACAGAGCCTTGTTGTTGATATGATTGTTTGGGCCCTATGACTTCACCAGGTAGCATTTATTACATAGTTAGATAAGTTTTTGACCAATATGAAGAAACTTGACAAGCTCTACAGAAAGTCTCTTGAAACTTTTTTTTTCTGAAAAGACGGAAAACAGTGAACTTCTGTCACAGATCTCAAATCGCAGTTCTCTTTCAGTCTTCATTTTGTTCCCCTGTGGAGATAGAAAAATCACAAAGATGGGGGGAGACAAATGAGTTATTGAAACAGAAACAGTAAACACCCATGAGCCCAGAAACACTGAATTTTGCCAATTTTACATAACCTATGAAAAAATTACTCCTAAAAGACCATGATCTGTTTCAGCCTATGCAAAATGAATATTATTTACTATAACAAATAGTTTTCCCCTCTAGAACAAAATCATCCTAATTTAACATAATATCTTAATCTCATGTAATTAATTTTTTTTAAATTTAAAGACATAGAGTGTGGTAATCTGTAGTGATTGGGGTTGAAAGGCAGAGATGTCATGGGAGCCAGTATCATTTTGGATATTTGACTGCTAACCCTAGTTTCTTAGTTACTGTTTTATCTTTTTAATGGCCACCTCTGGCTTTCAGTTTTAGAACCCCATCTTGGGAATGTGTGTTTGGTTGTAGAGGCAAACTATGATGCTTTGTCAATACCCAAGACAGATGACTAGTCTCCTATGTTCTCAAGGATGGGCCTCCTCCAACCTCAGTAATTCTAAGTGGTAGCCACATCGAGAGATTGCCATCAGTATTACTTGGAAGTTAACTTGTAGATAATCATGATATTTTTAAATGTCATCAGCAGAAAAGTTTTTCTTTAGGGCTGTCATTTTAGGGGAAAGAGAATGAGTCAGTTTAGTATTCATTGTGATAAGTGGACTGTTGGTATGAGAAAATCAGCATTTGTTTTAAAATATCTTTAAAATAATAATTAATCATTGCTAAGGTATTTATTGGGCTTCCCTGTTAACTCAGATAGTAAGAATCTGCCTGCAATGTAAGAGACCCGGGTTCAATCCCTGGTTTGGGAATATCCCCTGGAGAAGGAAACAGCAACCTGCTCCAGTATTCTTGTCTGGAGAATCCTATGGACAGAGGAGCCTGGTGGGCTACAATTCATGGAATCACAAAGAGTTGGATATGACTAAAGCAACTTAGCACACACACATGCAAAATATTTATTGGTATTACAGATATTTGTTCCTTTTTATCCATGGCGAAACTGAGGCTCAGGCTGGTTACTTAACCATGGAGTGGCCAAGTTGGCACTTAAGCCCAGGCAATTAGCCTTCCAAACCCAAACTCCGTGCTACTGATCATGCTTCCTCATGTGAAGTGCAGATATTTATAAAAGTGTGTGCAAATCCTTCTTTTCATGCTTTGGTGAGTATTCACTGCATCATTCTAGGTTCTTTTGGGTGAGAATCGTTTGATGGCAAGAGTGAAAAGAGCGCCACTCTGTGTGGGACACCTCAGTGATTCACCTGTAGAAAAGTGTTGTAATGGAGATGGTGGCAGAGCGTAGTCCTTAGCAGGAGGCCATCGCTGTGCACTGTTACACCTACCCCACCCCTTACCAGGCAGTAGTTACCAAGGGACCGTTAATGGTCCTGCTTAGTCATTGGTTGGCACCACAGTGGGCCCTGCCCACAAGCAACTGCTGGTCAATGAGTGATTGTTAGTAGGGGTGGAGTGAAGTTCCTAAAAGGAAGATCCTGTCCTTCTCCCAGGGGGCCTCCAGCTCACCTGGCCTCCAGGGGAGCTGGGGGGCCAGGGAACAGGCTGGAGGCTGTGTCCTGCAGGGCTCCAGAGCCCTCATCAAGGCCATCCTATGTGACCATGTCCCCCATCCCCACCTCTGTAACCTAACTGCTACAGCAGTGTGCATAGGACACGGTCTAGGGGACCTGGCCCCTGCCATTTGGGTGTTGTGAAGATCCTGAGGACAGTTGGGCCCTGGGTGCCTGCCTCCCTTAGCAATGACATCTGGACAGGTCTAGGGGCCTGGCCCTGAGGGAGCCGCCATCTGAGATCTGCCTCTTCAGCCAGGACCTGGACCTCAGAGTGTGAAAGTTGTGCCTGGGAACCTTGCCTTTCTTGCCAGGATGGTGAGTGACATTTTTTTGGTGGAGCTTTACAGAAACACTGTTACCTGACCACTGACCTGACCTCAAGAACACAGGGTACAGCACCAAGCAGTTTGCAACAGCCAACCGTGCCCCTCCCTTACCTCTCCTACACAAGGGCTTTGCTGAAAGTGTTCCGGGAGTTTGGGATTTTTAAGGTGTGAGCTACCCATCTCCCTGCATGGCACTCAATAAACCTTTCTCTGTTCCAAACTCCAGTGGTTTGGTATTGCTAGGCCTCACTGTGTATCAGACACATGGACTTGGCATTTTGTGGTCTCTGCTGTGGCTGGCCACACCAGCTGTTTCTGACTTTAGAGTCCAAGGTGTAAATTATAACTCTGCCATTTGCTATTTGATGAACCTCATTTTACTTATTTTGTAAAATGGAGATAGTTCTGCCTCATTGGGTGGAGTGCCAATTAAATGAGAAAACACAAAGAAACTATTTAATCTATTGTTCAAGAAATGGTAGTATTTGTTGTGGTTGATATTGTTGTCATAATGGCAAGAATATGTGACATTTTACCTGTTGTGGTCTTAAGCATCCTGCCCAATTAGCATATAGAATGTTCTATTTATTATGTTTATTGAGTACCCTCTGTGTACAAAACAGTGTAAAAATATCTGCAGAAAGACTGGACGTCTAGAAGAGAGCTTGTGAGCTAGCTGGGAGGACAGACTTCATCAATGAAATGGAGCCTTGTTTGTATTTTGACATTAAATGTTCCTAGTGCACAGCAGATAAATAAAGTTGTTTTTTTATATAAAAGTACTTAATAAACAGTTGTTTCAGTGATTGGATTGTAAGTCCAGGAGGTGAAAAGTATGTTTTATACATTCCTTCAGTATTTCCAGTGGCAATAACAGGCAGTGTGCCAGTCAAATACTCATTGGATGTCTCTTAGTTACAGAAGCAAAAAATAATAATGGGGGTGATAAATATTATTTAAGATGTCATTGGGTATTTCCAAGTAGATGGGTAACTTGGTCTGATTTCTATCTGGAAAGGGTGCTTCAGGCTGTCTTGTGGAGGGAGGAGAGGACCTTGGAGAGAGCGTGATAGCAAAGGAGCCTCTGTGCCGTCAGGAGGCCTTTCCTGATGCGCCCTACTCGTGACAGTGCCTCTCACTCCCCAGTCTGTTTCCCCTCATGGCTTTTTGTTTGCTTGCTTATTTATGCTGCTATGTTCCCAGCACTTAGAATAGTTCCTGGAACATAGGAGTGACTCAGTATTTATTGAATAAATAGATAAAAGTGGTACAGTCAGTAAGGAGCTTATTGGGGTTGTGAGAAGTGACATGGTAGACATCTTCTCAGTGGAGCTGGAGAGAAGAATACTGATTTGGGATGAATAAATGGAATGAACCTGGTGGATAAGGAAGAGAAGTCAGGGATCACCTAATCTGATGGTCTGATTAAATGATGAAATGATGGTGCCTGTTTCTGAAATGCAAAAGGATGAAGTGGAAAAGGGTAAGGGTGAGGGGAGCTGAGGATAAATAGAAAAAGCAATGGGCCTGAACAACCCATGGCACCCAGGAAAATGTTGGGACTACCCCTTAGGTAAATCACCTGTGGTCTTTTTTTAGCAGCAGGGGTGTATTCTGACACAGGCAGACCTTCCTCGGTGGAATGTCTCTCCTGGAGAGGTAAGAGCGAAAGGAATTCAGTTGAGGTGTGAGAAAACCTTAAAATACAAGAATGTCTCAGAGTACACAATGGGAACCAATATGAGGTGCCCCTCCCTGAAAGTCCAGTTAGATCTATAGGGGAGCCTGAGGGAAGAGATCAGTGAGAAATGAGGTGTCCTCTCAGATCCCTTCTTTTGACAGCTCAACCATTCCTGTTTTACGTGGAAGCACCATGGAATGAAGGAAGGTCCTCACAAGTTGCTTTTCCAATATGGTCCTTAGTCCTTTGTAGGCCTCTTCCTTGTTTTTTTAATATAAGGACCATTTCTCCTCTTAGACTTTCTGAGAGAAGAAAAGGGACCAAGGAAACAAGGCTTGACAAAAAGGTTTTTTAAAAATTAAATTATATGAACTTGAAAATTCATAGATAACTAAATGGTTCTTCCCCCATTTGGAGAAGTCAGGGAATGTTTTCTAAGTACCTACCTATGCTGATAGGAAGGGCTGTGGTTTTAGGGATGTGTAGAGTCTTATTTTCGTCCCAGTGCTTCTCCTTCCAAGAATTCAAGTGTTATGTTCATTCTCGCGTGAAGGACTCTGGAAGAGGTCTCAGGGGCAGGTCTGAACTTGAACCATAGTGGTAAGTATGGGTGTCTTCTGCAAAATGTCACAGCCCTGGACATCTCTTTCTGGGCTTTGTTGTATCTACCTCAGCATTATTGTGAGGTACTCACAAAGTACTCAGCTCAGCAAAAGCAAGCTTTCTTGTCCAAGGTCTTTGGCAAGAACCCAAAACAACAGCTATGCCCGAGTGTCCAAATATATTTGGGCGACATTCCACAAGCAGAGGTCCTGGAATTCACTGATGATTTCCTTTAGAGTCTTTTGTTGCCATTCTCCATTTAGAAAATTTTAGTAAATAGTGATGTGGAAAGATTTTTATTCTCATGAGCTCTTCCTGGCATATAGTTTACTGACACATAATGCAGAACTACAGAACAAGATGCTCTAACCCCAGTGAGGGGAGATATTTGCCATAAAACTTGTGGCCAGGAACGTGGAAGATTTGGCTGTATTTGAATTCAGGATTTACCACCTACTAGATTTGTGGCCTGGGGTAAAATGGGAATATTTGTAGCATGTCTAAGCTAACAGTAAAGTATTGTGAGTAGGAAATGAAATAATGCATATAAGACACTCATCTTCACATAGTAACCAGCCCATTGCACATGCAGTGAGTGAAAGTAACTCAGTTGTGTCTGACTCTTTGCAACCCCATGGACTATACAGTCCATGGGATTCTCCAGGCCAGAATACTGGAGTGGGTAGACTTTCCCTTCTCCAGGGGATCTTTCCAACCCAGGAATGAAACCAGGGTCTCCTGCACTGCAGGCAGATTCTTTACCAACTGAGCTATCAGGGAAGCACATGCAATAAATAGTAGTTATGATTCATATATTCTTTTATATTTTGTTATTTGTATTCATTTATCATATGGCTTTAATTCTAAGCTACATATTCAAAAGCAGAGACATTACTTTGCCAACAAAGTTCCGTCTAGTCAAGGCTATGGTTTTTCCAGTGGTCATGTATGGATGTGAGAGTTGGACTGTGAAGAAAGCTGAGCACTGAAGAATTGATGCTTTTGAACTGTGGTATTGGAGAAGACTCTTGAGAGTCCCTTGGACTGCAAGGAAATCCAACCAGTCCATCCTGAAGGAGATAAGTCCTGGGTGTTCATTGGAGGGACTTATGTTGAAGCTGAAACTCCAATACTGTGGCCACCTCATGTGAAGAGTTGACTCATTGGAGAAGACCCTAATGCTGGGAGGGATTGGGGGCAGAAGGAGAAGGGGATGACATAGGATGAGTTGGCTGGATGGCATAACTGACTGGATGGACATGAGTTTGAGTAAACTGTGGGAGTTGGTGATGGACAGGGAGGCCTGGCGTGCTGCGATTCATGGGGTCACAAAGAGTCAGACATGACTGAGTGACTGAATTGATTTCTAAGTTGCAGATTTTTTTCTATTTTGATACTTTTCAAATTAGAACTTGTAATTGATTTATGCTTATTCTGTTTTATATACCTTTTGGGTGTTAAAAATAGAAACATTTCCCACTGTCTTTTAGAACTGGTGGTGAAAGTTTTAGGAGGACTTAGTGTATTTTTTTAACCTGTCACCTTCCTGAATTATTTTGAGTAGTTTTTTAGTTGATTCTTACGTTTTCTGAGTAGATGATCATATGATCCATAAATAATCATGATTTGGCTTCTCTTTTACAATAGCTGTGTTTCAATATCCTCTTTTTGTCTTATTACTTACTTGGAATATCTGGAACAGTACTAAATACTAGTGACTAGAGTGGATATCCTTGTCTTGTACCTGGTTTTCTTGGGAATGCTGCCAGTAGTTCACCATTATTATGTTCAACATTCAGATGAGATCATCCTTACTAAAGAGGTACACTCTTTATTTTTAGTTTCCTATAAATTTACAACAGGAATTTTTCAATTTTTACCAAATGCCTCCTAAGCATTTTTCTAAATAGTGGCTCTCAAGATTGTATAAAGGAATTCCCAAAGAGCATTAAAAAAAAAATTAGGACTTGCTCCAGATATGCTGCAGGATAATTTGCTGTGTTAAAAATTAGGCCCATGATGGTGATGTGTACCAAGCATTAAGGACACATCATGTACTTAATGATGTGTACTGATTAAGAAGGTTTGACTTAGGTGATCACATACATATTTAGGTCTCTTAACTTACTGATGTGATGATTTATATTATAAAACTCTGAATTTTAAACCATCCTACTTTCCCTGAATAAATCTTACTTGGCCCTGTTTATATTATTCTTTTAATGTGTTACTGGGTTTTCTTTGCAAGTATTATGACTTACAGTTTTTATATCATATTCATAAGTGGAATTAGCCTATAGTTTATTCTTTTATGTATATAAGCCATGTTGGTTTTGAAAATTAAATTGTGAAGTGTCTGTATTTCCAAAATTCTTTAAACGGAGAAAATTGATCTGTTCTTGAAAGTATGAAAGCACCCTGTTAAGGGACCCAAACCTAAGGCCATTTTGGAACAACATATTCCATTTATTTCCTGATTACTTAGGTATTATCTTCCTTCTCCCAATGAATTTTATTATTTTTGTTTTCCTAAAGTAGTTTCCATTTCATCCAGATAGAGATCGGTTGTCCTTATTCTGATCTCTTCTTTGTCTGTTACATTCTCTTGGTTTTCAGTCCTTCTGTAATTATTTGAATTCTCCTGCCATCCTTTTTTTCTTGATTAGATATACCAAGAAAGAGGGGTTTTGTTGTTTTACTTTTTGTTTTCCTGCTATTTTTTGTATGAACATCCTTTCATTGATAGGTCAGTTGCACTTCTCTCATATCATTTCTGCTGGGCTAATGGATCTTTCTCTTATTATTGTGTCTTCTATTATGTGTCCTACTCCTCCTCAGCCTCTTCATCCTTTTTTTCCTCCTCCTCACCACACCATTCTGAATGGGTGGAGGGTGGAAGGGATGCCAAAAGTAGAATCTTAAAAAGAGCCATGATTACCCAAATCAAATTTCTAGAGAACCTGGTTTTCTCCACAATTAATCATTATCGGTAGCCCTCCTAGGATTTAAGGAACACCTGCACGTATATTGATATACATATATTCTTGCCCACATGTATTTGTTTAGTTATGCATAAGCATATGCATATACACATGTGGGTTCTAGTGTAACAAATCTCTTTATTAAAAAATTTAAGATATATTTTTCCACATGGATATTTGGATTTAATCATTGGAAAAGGGTCACACTGACCATCAATGAAGGCTAGTAATCTTACTTAATCAGATGTGAAACATTATCAAGGAAATTTCCTGTGCCCTGAAAGTTTTGTTTCTTTTAAGAAACATGAAGAAACTCCATGAACATGATTTTTAAAGTGATTGCCTCATATAGGAAATAGACAATCATGTCACATTTCACCATGATAAACAGTACACTAAATGGGCACAGTATTCTAAAATTCACATGTGGAAGAGAACCACACAAGTATAAAAAGTAAAATTTATATACAGGATTAAGGGTAAAAGTGTACGTTACAGCATGTTTGCCTGGTAGTGTATAATTGCTGAGCATTATTTGTCGGTTAGGGGGATCAGCTAAAGCCCAGTGTATAAAAATTCATGCCAGTAGGAAATTTACTATAAATCAAAGTCTAGATTACTCCATAACATTACGTCTTCGAGTTGTAAATTAACTTGCACAAATTTGGTTTTCTGGATAATGAGCAACATTTCCAGTGGAGCTGGAAGCCTTCCATAAATAAGTTCAGATGAGAACAAAGCCTCACTTCCCCGTCTTCTGTCCTGCTAGGGCCTCTGCACGCCTGCTCTTATTGCCAGACTTCCACCCAGAGGTGGCCTGGGGGTGTGTCCTGGGGTGTGGGCAGAGAACACCCATCTCTAGCCCTGTCTATAGCTCACCATGTGAAATTTCACTTTTACTGTAACAAAGCCATAACTGTTTCCTGCTCTCGCTGGGCACAGTTCTGCCTTTAAGCAGGATGTTGCCCCACAATCTGGTGATGCGCGGGTCTTCAGATGGCATAGTGAAGCCCCATGCCCCGGCCCTGGAACACTGACACCACGTATGAAGCCTGGGGTGCCAAGTGCTTCTGCAAGCAGAGCCGCCTGTCCTCAGGGAGATGTGACATCACTTCCGGAGATGCTGCGCGTTGTTCTGATGTGTTTTCAAATGTCCTTGAGATGAGAGGATGATGACGAGGGAGACATTTGGGCCTTGTAAGCAAGTTGCAGAAAAGATCGGGCTGAGGAGTTACAGTTATCCACAGTATTTCTTCAAAACCCACCAGCCAACTGGACTCACGTTAAACAGACCATCTACTGTTAATACTATTGCTAAAAATACTGATGGTAATTCTAACCATCATGCGAAAGTCTAATATTTGTATGTTTTTTCTGTGTGTCAGGTATTGTGCTATTACTCTGCTTTCTCTTTTCTTCTCTCAGCAACCCTATGGGGTGGTGCCAGTTATAAGGAACCCAAGGATTAGAGAAGTCTGGGTCAGGCTACTCTGGCTATCATCAGCTTCAGTTTATAATCTCTAGAATGCTCTGAAGCCAATATCCAGAAGCCAGTATCCAGAGTCATGTCAGCTAGCCACAGCTTGCCCTTTGTGCTGCTTTTTGTGTCCTTCTAGGATGCACATCAGAGACTTCTGCCATTTCTGTGTGTAGGGATTTTCCCTCTGCTCCTAGGTTCCTCTAGTTTTGAAAATCTGCAGTTGATGTCCCTTGTGACTCTCTGGAATCCTAGTGAATCTCATCCTCATAGTCCTGCCGTATCCTCTCAGTGACTTCTCTGCTCCATCCCTGTTTCACTTACAGCTGTTCTACCCTTAGTCACATTCTGTGCCTGAAGAATTAAATCACCATTTATGTTCCTATTCCTTAGTCTCCTCCATGAGAACCTCTCCAATTGCCATGTTTATCCTCTCTCTCTGGGACATGACAGGCCTGTATTTGAGTTTTCTAGGGCTTAGGGCACGAAGACAAATGTAGGCCCAGTTTAGCTCATATATTCTTCTTTGTAATTTCAGTTTACTTGAT